TGTTTGGAATATTTTATAGTCTAATTCATCTGTTCTGCATCAGAAAAAGCTGCAGAATCAACTGACATTTACCTTCTCTGTTTGGGCACTTAAAATCTGTGGTTCGATGTCTACATGTGCAAATATAATTTTCAGAATTACATTGTGGAGTTCTAAATGGCAAAACCTTTTCCTTCAAATTCTTGTGTCTATAGCCTACATTGAAATGTAAATAAACTTACAAAGGTTTACTTATAGATTTTTAAAGGTTAGTTAAACCAAAATGTTCAACTCATTTATTATACTTTCTTATTACTAGACATAAGTGAGACATTGAGACATGGGAAGGGGAATAAAACAAAATTTTATTAACACCTTATTTACAAAGGTGTATAATGATTATATGTAAACCAGAAAACATAATTTAAAAAAAGTTATTAACTTATGTTTTTATATTTCAGTCAAGAAATGCTTACTTTAGTGATTCATGGTTTGTAATGAGCCCCAGGAATGTTCTTTTGGAATTTGTGGAGGGCAGGTGAAGGACACAAAATGATAAGGTGATTGTCCTTCAAAATGTACTTTTGACCTCCCTTGGAGCATTAGGGGTGGTAGGAAAGCAGTCTCCAGATGGACCCTACTGCTGAATTGTTTGCATTTGGTCTGGGGGAGAAACAGAAAAATCAGCTTTATTTTTGAAAACTCTCCAGAATCCTTTAGATCCAGGCAGAAGAAACTTTGTCTTTATTTTAAGAACTCATCCAAAAGGTGTGCATCCTTGGAGCTGCACGATCACTTGCAATGATAGTCATCATTACAGTACCTTTTGGAATTTATAGGTGCTCTATCTTTGGAAGTGCTCATAATCCTTCTGTTCACTGGGGATTTTTTGTTTGTTTGTTTTTCAGTATAATAAAATATACAAGAACCTAAAAGAATTTTCTCAAAATGGAGAGAATTTCTGCAAGCAGGTCACATCTGTTCTTCAGCAAAGGTACAAAATGCATGTTTGCAATAAATAGTTCTTCCTCTATAGTTGCAGCAAGTAATAAGACCGGTGGAGTGATTAGAAGGTGTCCTGTTTTTCCAAATGTGGTGTGGTATTTTGGTACTTAAGAGATCGTTTGGAAGAATGATTCTTCTCTCCTGCACATTTGTCAGCTGAGTACCACAAAAACCAAGGAACAACAGGAAGTAATTGTGCTTGAGTAGGCTTAGTCATGCCTCTTCTGAGTTCTCAAACTGAGTTGACCCTCCGCCTCTGAGGTCCAGTGTTGTAGCTAATGTATATATCTCTCGTACTTTTTACACTCACAGCAATTCTCAGTTTATGTTGTTTTTTTCTCCTCTGGAAGGCAGAGGTTGTGTCTTACTCATTGCATGCTGATCAATAAAGCCCTGCCTTTTGATTTCTTTGGTAAACGTCTGATGAATGAATAGACGAAGGAACGAAAAGCCACCATTTTAAACATCAACTTCTCTTCATATTCAGTGTGATCTTATATGAAAGTGTTCACTGTGCTGAAATTAGAACACTGAACTCAGTCGAGAACGTTACAAAAAATTCCTGCTTAAAATCAGAGAACTCAAGTACTGGATTGGGTCATGAAAGGTCATTTAGGCCTTTTCTCTGCCCTTAGGTACCTCTATAATAAATACTCTAAAGAAACCTTCAGAAGAGATTGCTTAATTTTTTTAAGAGAAGTCATTCCAAATTTAAAATAGTGTACATGTGCTATAAGGACAAAGACACCATGGGTTGATTGCATCCTGTGTTGACAGGTCAAAACCAAAGGAGAACATTAGTTTTATCAGGACCAGTGAATGAGGCCAAAGAATGATAAGGGAGAGCTCAAATTAAATTCTACAGAGAAAAAAAATTCTACAGATTTGTCAAATGAAGTCAAATTTTAAAGGAAAAATGTTTTAAAGAAACAGTAACTTCTGTTCTAACAGCCAAAATGTCTTTGATTCTATGAAAGAGAAAGGGGGAGGTCCCATCTGGGAGGAAAGTTATTTGATAAGAAAATATTTTCATGGAGCCAGATGGTGGTGCAGTGATAAAATGCAACACTCTTATGAGCTGACGCAAGTGGGAAGGTTTCCGGTTTTGGTATAGAAACCTTTCTAAGTCAGGCATGCCTGGGCCTATAATTTAGGGTTGTCTGAAGCTGGGGATGGACTGTGACATCAATGCTCTTTTGGGGGTGCTGTCTCACTGTCTCTGTCTCCCCCCACTCATGGAATACATAAGTAATTTTTTAAAAAATATATAAAACATATTTGTATTAGTCTCAAAGAAAATAATTTAAAATAAAACCAGTTAACTATTTTTATGAACTCAACCCATTACCTAGATGACAAAGCATCTCCCTCCTACAGAACAAGAAGAATCTGCACAACTTTTAGCCATGCATATGACCTGGGTTACAGTTGTCTGTATCTGATCCTTTGATGTCTGAGAGTTCAAAATTAGTGCCTGATAGACGTGAAAATGGAAGGCAGGTAACCAATAATGCCTGCTGGTAAACGGACTTAATTTTGGACCAAAAAAATTGGGTAAAGGGTACATTATAGCTTGAAAATAACCTTGCTTTTCCCATATCCACATCACTCCATGTCTGCACACCTCCACAGACATGTACCTTTTACAGCTGGAGCCTTCATTTGTTACCTTTGTCTCTCTCAAAGTTGCTCCCTGGAGCTACCATCTGCCCTGAACCTATTAACATGGGAAATCCTCCATGCAGACCTTCTGGAGTGGCATACATGCCCAGTGCACAAGAAGCACTTGGAGGGACCAGCAGTTAGCGTAATGGCTATGTTGCTGGACTCCCACGTAGTCGACCGCAGTTCGTGTCCCGGACCCGGTGACTTAAAACTCACGCCAGGCACGTGTGCGTGCGTGCCCAAGATCCCGAGAGGAGAATGGAGGAGAAGGGATTGTGGCATGACCATCCCCCCTGGGGAGTGATTTCTCGCTTTCTGTCTCTATGTCTCTCTCTGTCTGTCTGGTGAGTGCACACGCCCTATAGCGAAAATCTCTCAAAAAAAAAAAAAGAGTGCTACTGGTTACAGCACATACCTGGACTAAAACTGCATAGCACAAATAAAAAGAATGAATCTCATGTTTTACACAGACCAAAAACATTCACTAGGTATTAGATCATTTGTGTGATAGATGCTTTCCTAAACATTTTGTAAAGCTAAACTAGTATGATTAAATTATTTCCCCTTTTCTAAGATGCCAGTGTTGACTTGCTTTGTACTGATTCCTGACGAATGTGCATTTGCAGTATTTCACTATCCTTGTACTTTCAGGCTTCCACCACTTGCTCAGTTTTTTGATCACATAATTAGACTAAAGAATGTCCACACTAGGGAACCAGCAGTTAGCGTAATGGCTATGTCACTGGACTCCCACGTAGTCGACCGTGGTTCGCGTCCCAGACCCGGTGGCTTAAAACTCACGCCGGGCGTGTGTGCGTGCGTGCCCAAGATCCCGAGAGGAGAATGGAGGAGAAGGGATTGCAGCGTGACCATCCCCCCTGGGGGGGGCGTGATTTCTCGCTTTCTGTTTCTATGTCTCTCTCTGTCTGTATGGCAAGCCCACAAGAAGTAGAGCATTGATGGGATGAGGAGGTGTGGCATTATCTGTTAAAGATATTTTGATCAATGGGTCTGAGGAGAAATGTGCACATATCAAAATGGTCTCATGTTAAGCCAAACAATATGATTGAAAGTATGTACAAAAAACAAATAATAAATAATATGAAGTAAATAAATAAATGATGACTCAGTAGAATTATCTATCTGTCCAAAACTTTCTCTATTATGAGAGCCTCGGATATGCATTAAAGAAACACATACTTCAATTTTATTGTCTGTGAAAAAAAATTCAATTCCAGTAATTAGAAGTGGTGAACAATCAGTTTTATTGATTATATTAGGAGTTTATGGGAAAAAAGGATCATTCTAGAATAAAAGCTCTTGATATCATTTACATAAAAATTGAAAAATTCTTGTTGAACTCTTTTGATATGTAAAGCTCACCTCCAATATTTAAAAATAACAGTCAAGAACTCCATAACAATGCATTTTTTTAAAAAAATTTATGTGATAACAGATGGCATAGGTATTAAGTTACTGAACTCCCACATGACCATAGTTCAAGTCCCGGACATGGTGGTTTGAAACCCACGATGGGCATATGTGCATGCATGCCTGATATACAGGAGAATGAAAGAGAAGAGATTGTGGCATGGCCATCTCATCTGGGGGATAATTTCTCAATTTCTTTTCCACTGCCTCTCTTTCACTCAACCTGGCAAATGCATGCACCCGAAGGCTAAAAAAAAAAAATGGGGGGGCCCACCCCCCATAGCAAAAAAATTTCCCCAAAAAAAAAAAAAAAAGAATGTCCACACCAAAGAAGATAGCACTGGGGGAGAACTGTTTTCTATGGACAAAGGTATCACTCTATGAAAATGTGGCATTTTGTGTATTTTTAGACAAAATGCCTTATGTCAGCTGGCCAAGACAGAGATCACTTCACTTCCCGGGACTGGGTCATTTCTCTCCCAGGAGTGATAAGATCCAGGGGTCATTACGTCTTCCTACTGTGGTTGAACCAAGTCAACATAATACCCATATTGACAGCGATGAATGGTCACATCATAGCTGATACTATAGTTGCCTTTATCCTCTCATCTTGTGAATTCAGAAATTACTTCCCTAGGCGTACATAAAAGACCAATTCCCACTAGCTAACCAGAAAGGAGCCCAAAGCTTATTTCCCTCTGTGATGGGTGAGCTTATGACCCATGAATCAATAATACCTTTCCCTTGTATTAGGAAAATACCTGGAAAGTCAGTTCTGTTTCAAAGAAACTATCCTGTTACTTAAGATTATAGACAAGTAATGGGAAACCTCCTAAGACCAAAAACTGGTACTCTTGGTATGCATGTAGTAGCTATTCCCAATGAGAGTTGGAGTTGCGACATAGAAAATCATGAAAGCAAATCCAGTGCCCAGAATAATGAAAGATATAGTAAAGGAACCCATGGGACTTTGGATTAGGGGTGCCCTCCACATAAAATACATCCAGCAAATACCTGTGGATTGAATGAATAAATACGTAAAAATTTGTCAGGGGCCTTATTATTATTATTACTAGAACTACATTATCAGAGTAATTCTCACTGTCCTTGGAGGTTTACATTTTCAGACATTGTTACAGAGTCTGTTGGGACGTAGTTCTGCTCCGCAGAGCACTGTATTAGCGCGTGGGTGCAAGAGGCAGCATCACAGGCTGGCCGTGAGTCCAGATCACATCTCCTGGCCAAGCTCAGGTGCTTTCTTGCGTTTGCTCTAGTTGGTGGTGATGGAAAAGTGCAGTTGTCTTTGAAACACCATTTTCCCTGGATCTTCTGCAATTCACGGTCATGCTTAGTTTCTTTTATCCAATTAGTTACTTCAGTTTCCTTTTTTGTACGGTAGCAAACTCACATGTGGCCAGAGACACACAGCAGCTTCTACCGTACCTAATGCCAAAGTTTTCAGGTTTACTTTAACACAATTACAAATCAGACTTAAAGAGGCAAAGACACATTCCCTCCCAGATACTGAATGTTCCGCTCTCTGCGCCTTCACAGCTAATATTTAAACAGGCTTTGATGAGAAAATCAATTGTTCCTTTGAAAGGAAGCTTAAGATCAGATTTTCAAATGCCAGGAACAACTCCTCTGGATATAAGAAAAAAAAGAAAGAAAAGGAAAAAAAGAAAAAATAAATAAAAGAAAAACACACACTGTCTATGATTCTCTGTAGACATTGTCGACAAAGAAATAAAGCATTGAAGGACCAGCAGTTAGCATAATGGTTCTGTTGCTGGACTCCCATGTAGTCGACTGCAGAGTGGCCATCCCCCCTGGGGGTGATTTCTCACTTTCTATCTCTCTGTCTCTCTCTGTCTTTCTGGTAAGCACATGAGT